TATGACTTTTTTTCATGATTTTGGACGACATGCTATACTATAACTTTTTTCAATGATTTCTGATGACATATTATGATATATGACGTTTTTTCATGATTTCTGACGACATACTATGACTTTTTTTCAGGATTTTTAACAACATACTATACTATGACTTTTTTCATGATTTTTAACAACATACTATACTATGACTTTTTTTCATGATTTCTGACGACATGCTATACTATGACTTTTTTTCAATGATTTCTGACGACATGCTATACAATGATGATTTTTCATGATATTGGACGACATACTATACTATGACGCTTTTTCATGGTTTCTGACGACATGCTATACTATTACTTTTTTTCATGATTTTGGACGACATGCTATACTTTGACTTTTTTTTCATGATTTCTGACAACATGCTATACTATTACTTTTCTTCATGATTTTGGACGACATACTATACTATGATGATTTTTCATGATTTTAGACGACATACTATACTATGACTTTTTTTCATGATTTCTGATGACATGCTATACTATGACTTTTTCATGATTTCTGACATGATATACTATGACCTTTTTTCATGATTTCTGATGACATGCTATACAATGATGATTTTTCATGATGTTGGACGACATACTATAATACTATGACGCTTTTTCATGGTTTCTGACGACATGCTGTGACTTTTTTTCATGATTTCTGACGACATGCTGTACTATGACTTTTTTCATGATTTCTGACGACATACTATACTCTGACTTTTTTTCATGATTTTGGATGACATACTATAAGTTTTTTCAATGATTTCTGACGACATGCTATACAATGATGATTTTTCATGATTTCTGATGACATATTGCTATATGATGTTTTTTCATGGTTTCTGACGACATGCTATACTATAACTTTTTTCAATGATTTCTGATGACATATTATGCTATATGATGTTTTTTCATGGTTTCTGACGACATGCTATACTATGACTTTTTTTCATGATTTTTAACAACATACTATACTGTAACTTTTTTCAATGATTTCTGACGACATGCTATACAATGATGATTTTTCATGATTTTGGACGACATACTATAATACTATGACATTTTTTCATGGTTTCTGACAACATGCTATGACTTTTTCTCATGATTTTTAACAACATGCTATACTATGACTTTTTTCATGATTTTGGACAATATACTATACTCTGACTTTTTTTTGTTAACACTTTTATCACATCCTATACCATGAAATTTTATGGCATACTATTCTGTGACAATTTTATCACCCACTACACTATGTAATTTTTATGGCATACTATGACCCTTTTTTCTTTTTCTTTTTTTTTTTTTTTTTTACATTTTATGACCCATTTTTCCAAATTTAATGGCATATTACATTATGACATTTTTATGGCATACACTATGGCATTAAAATGTCATTTAAGAAGTTACTAAAATGTCATGCTGTACTAGGACTTGTTTAAGTGAGATTTTGTAACATGCTACACTTCGGCTTTTCAATAACACACTATATTCCTCCATCTCCCAGGGCCTAGAGTGGATGTCCATCAGGAAAAAGGCCCAGCAGAGGAAGTTCAACCTGCCTCATGAGCTGCAGATCTAATTCTACACAATTATTCATTCTAACTTTATTGCATCCATCACTGTGTGGATTGGACCAGTCACCAAACAGGTTACAACAGACAGTCATTTCGTGGAAAGAGTCAATAATGCCAGCCTGCCCTACATTCAGGACTTAATCATGTCTAGAGTCAGGAAACAGGCAGCAATCACTACTACAGATGCATCCCAACCTGTTCCAACTTCTCCCCTATGGAAGGTGCTACTGAAAACTGTTGGCAAAACAACCAGACATAGTTTCTTTCCACAGGAAAGATCAACAGTTAACACAGCCCATAGTGTCAGGACCAATTTCTGAACAATCCTTGTGCAAAAACTTGAACACCAAGTATCCACCTGTAAGTGATACATTCTTATAGTTTAACTATACACTGCTAAACATTTATATATCAACTTTGCCAAATATAAATCTATGCACACTGTACATACTGTAAATGCTGTCACGTTAATCACTGTTTTTTTTTAAATATATATATGTTATCACGCTTTGTTAAATATATTTATATCTGTCCAATAGCTGTATGTAGTAGTTAAATAGTTAAGTTTTACATTTGTCCAGCTCTGTTGTCTTTGTTTAAGCTGTATGTCTGTTTTGGTATACTGCTGTGCATTTTTGTCTATGTGCAATCAAGGTGCATCAGAAATGAAAGTAAAATTCATTGTATTTGCACACATACTCAAGTCAATAAAGCTGATTCTGATTTAAAAACATATTATACTATGGCTGTTTTTCATGACTTTAGATGACATACTATGACGTTTTTTCATGGTTTTGGACTACATACTATACTATGTTTTTCATAATTTTTGAAGACATGCTACTATGACGTTTTTCATGATTTTTAAAAACATACTACACTATGATGATTTTTCATGATTTCTGACGACATTCTATACTACGACATTTTTTCATGATTTTGGACGACATACTATGACGTTTTTTCATGATTTCTGACGACATGCTATACTGTGATGATTTTTCATAATTTTTTAAAAAAAAAAAACATACTACACTATGATGTTTTTTCATCATTTTGGACGACAAACTACATTATGACGTTTTTTTTTCATGATTTTGGACGACATACTATACTATGACTTTTTTCATGATTTCTGACGACATGCTATACCATGACATTTTTTTCATGATTTTGGACGACAAACTATATTATGGCTTTTTTTTTCATGATTTCTGACGACATGTTATACTATGACTTTTTTCATGATTTGTGACGACATGCTTTACTATGACATTTTTTCATGATTTTGGACGACAAACTATATTATGACTTTTTTTCATGATTTCTGACGACATGCTATGCTATGACTTTTTTTTCATGATTTCTGACGACATACTATGACTTTTTTTTCATGATTTCTGACGACATGCTATACTATGACGTTTTTTCATGATTTTGGACGACATACTATATTATGATGATTTTTCATGATTTTGGACGTCGTACTATACTATGACTTTTTTCATGATTTCTGACGACACACTATACTATGATGATTTTTGGATGACATGCTATACTATGACCTTTTTTTCGTGATTTTGGACGACACACTATACTATGCTGATTTTTCATGATTTCTGACGACATACTATACTGTGACGTTTTTTCATGATTTTGGATGACATACTTTACTATGATGATTTTTCATGATTTCTGACAACATACTATAGTATGACTTTTTTCACAAATTCTATGTTTTTTCATGATTTTTGATGACATACTATACTAAGACATTTTTTTGTTACACTTTCATCACATCATATACCATGAAATTTTATGGAATAGTATACTATGATATTTTTCGACATTTTATGGCATACTAAACTATGAATTTTGTTTGATGTTGTATGATACACTATGCCATGAAAATTTTTTGACACTTTTATGACATATTATACTATGACATTTTTTGACAATGTCATGGCATACTATATTATGTCCTTTTTGACATTTTTATGCATACTATACTTTTCATTTCTATGGCATGCAATACCATGACATTTTTGGATAATTTCACGGCATACTATACTATGGCTTTTCAAAAAGTTTTATGGTAGACTATACTATTACACTTCTTCAACATTTTTTATCACATACTATACTATGACATTTTTATGGCATACCTTTCGATGACTGTTTTTGAAAATCTTATGGCAAACTATAATATGACTCTTGACATTTTATGGCATACTATTCAATGACACTTTTTTGACATTTCTATAACATACTACACTGTGACATTTTTACGGCAAACTTACCTATGATATTTTTTTGACATCTACAGTCAGGTCCATAATTATTTGGACAATGATACAGTTGTCGTCATTTTGGCTCTGTACACCACCACAATGGGTTTTAAATGAAACAATGAATACCTGCTTAAAGTGCAGACTCTCAGCTTTCATTTAAGGCTTTTTTAAAAAATGTAGTATGAACCGTGTAGGAATGACAACCATTTCTTCACACAGTCCCCCAACTTTAAGGGCTCATAAGTATTTGGACAAACTAACATAATCATCAATTAAACAGTCAGTTTTAATACTTGGTTGCAAATCCTTTACAGTCAATGACTGCCTGAAGTGTTGGACACATAGGCATCATCAGATGCTGGGTTTCTTCCCTGGTGATGCTCTGCCAGCCCTTTACTGCAGCCGTCTGCACTCCCTGCTTGTGTTTTGCCCTCAGTTTTGCTTCAGCAAGAGAAACGCATGCTCAATTGGATTCAGGTCAGATGATATGACTTGGCCATTGCAGAACATTCCACTTCTTTGCCTTAAAAATGTCTTTGGTTGCTTTTGCAGTATGCTTCAGGTCAATGTCCAACTGCACTGTGAAGCATCGTCCAATGAGTTTTGAAGCATTTGGTTGAATCTGAGCAGATAATGGTGCCCCAAACACTTCAGCTTTCATCCTGCTGCTCTTGTCAGCAGTCACATCATCAATAAATACAAGAGAACCAGTTCCACTGGCAGCCATACATGGCCATGACATAACAGTACCTCCACCATGCTTCACTGATGAGGTGGTGTGCTTTGGATCATGAGCAGTTCCTTCCCTTCTTCCTTCTCTTGTCTTCCCATCATTCTGGTAGTTGATCTTTGTTTTATCTGTCCATAGTATGCTGTTCCACAACTGTACAGGATTTTTAGATGGTTTCTGACAAACTCTAATCTGGCCTTCCATTTTTAAGGCTAACCAATGGTTTGCATCTTGTGATAAACCCTCTGTATTTATTCTAGTGAAGTCTTGTCTTGCTTACAAGAGCAGCAGGATGAAAGCTGAAGTGTTTGGGGCACCATTATCTGCTCAGATTCAACAAAATGATTCAAAACTCATTGGACGATGCTTCACAGTGCAGATGGACATTGACCTGAAGCATATTGCAAAAGCAACCAAAGACATTTTTAAGACAAAGAAGTGGAATTTTCTGCAACGGCCAAGTCATATCATCTGACCTGAATCCAACTGAGCATGCGTTTCTCTTGCTGAAGCCAAAACTGAGGGCAAAACACCCAAAACACAAGCAGGAAGTGCAGACGGCTACAGTAAAGGGCTGGCAGAGCATCACCAGGGAAGAAACCCAGCATCTGATGATGCCTATGTGTCCAACACTTCAGGCAGTCATTGACTGTAAAGGATTTGCAACCAAGTATTAAAACTGACTGTTTAATTGATGATTATGTTAGTTTGTCCAAATACTTATGAACCCTTAAAGTCGGGGGACTGTGTGAAGAAATGGTTGTAATTCCTACACGGTTCATACTACATTTTTGAAAAAAGCCTTAAATGAAAGCTGAGAGTCTGCATTTTAAGCAGGTATTCATTGTTTCATTTAAAACCCATTGTGGTGGTGTACAGAGCCAAAATGACGACAACTGTATCATTGTCCAAATAATTATGGACCTGACTGTATATGGCACACTATACTTTCACTAAACTATGACATTCCTTGACATTCTATGACATTTTTAAAACATTTTTTTGGCAAACTTTCCTATGATATTTTTTGACATTTTCATGGCATTTTATCACAGTTTTTTGACATTTTATGAAAGATGTAGTGGAATCTAGCAGTGACGTTGCTGATTGGAACCAACTGAAACCTTGTGCCAAGCATGTAGAAGAACTACGTTGCCAGATGGGAAATTAGGAATCACCCTATTTCGAACCACTGTTTTGGCTGTTTATTCTTGGCTACTGTAGAACTACACGGCAAACTCTGTGGAAGAGACCAGCTCCACATGTAGATATAAATGGCTCATTCTAATGCAACAAAAACACAACAATACTTATTTGCAGGTGATTACACACGAATGAAATCCTAGGTATGATTACTATATCATATTTCTGCCAGTAGGTGACCCCAAAATTCTACAGAATAGACCAGTATGACATATTATACCATGACATTTTTTATGGCATACTATGACTTTTTTATGAAATACATTGTTCATGGCATTTTGTAGCATACTCTACTAATTAAGTAATATTAAAGTTTAATAATACGCTGATAAGTCCTGCATTAAACATCTCAAAAAGCCTCTTATCGACTATTATTTGACAATGGAAGTCTAATTTGGGAAAGAAAAACATGAAATATCCCTTTAAGAGATGCATCGTCCAGACCTTTAGTCTCACCTGCTGCTTGTCCATTTTTCTTCTTCTTATCCTCGCTCTTCTTCTTCTGTTGTTCCCGTGCAGCCACAGCTGCCATCTGAGCGTTGTACTCTTTCCTTCTTTTCTCCTTCTCCTCTGCTTTCTCCCGTTTACGTGCCTCCTTCTCTCTGGCCTCCCGCTCCCTCTGCTTCACCTCCCGCTTCCTTTCCAGCTCTGATTGAGGGATGAAGAAAAATGCATTTAGAGGAGATGCAGTCTGTATGACTGCATTTCTGGTTCCCTGCCATGAATAAAATGCACTTCATCCTCAGTGGAACAAAATCCTATGAGTCTACAAAAGCACAATTACTATCTCAGCTTACTACTTAGTTGGGAGCCAGAGAAAAGGAATTAACTTACTAACATATTATTCCGAGTCAGTCTTGTTTTGCAAATAATACTTACAAACATAAGAATATAAGTATGTGTAGCATAACTTAATTTTTCTTCTTTCCTTCCACCATTAATTACAACCCCTTTAGGCTGGGAGCATCCAGACTAATCTCGCTAAACTACTTCAGACTGGTTCCCTTCAACCTGCTACAACAGTAAAATGCTGCTTACATGTTAATGCATGAGTATTTACAATCTAATAATACACTGCCTGGCCAAAAAAAAAGTCGCCACCTGGATTTAACTAAGCAAATAGGTACAAGCCTCCTATTGGATAATTACTGCATGGGCGATTATCTTTCAGCTGGCAACAAGTTATTTAACCCCAACTGGTGCAATGAGTTGCTTCTCATTTCCTAAACAACCATGTCGAAAGACACATCCCATGGTCGTGGAAAAGATGTTAGTCTGTTTGAGAAGGGTCAAATCATTGGCATGCATCAAGCAGAGAAAACATCTAAGGAGACTGCAGAAACTACTAAAATTGGGTTAAGAACTGTCCAACGCATTATTAAAAACTGGAAGGATAGTGGGGACCCATCGTCTTCGAGGACGAAATGTGGCCGGAAAAAAATCCTCAATGATCGTGATCGGCAATCACTTAAACGTTTGGTGAGATCAAATCAAAGAAAAACAACAGTAGAACTCAGGGCTATGTTTAATAGTGAAAGTAAGAGCATTTCCACACGCACAATGCGAAGGGAACTCAAGGGATTGGGACTGAACAGCTGTGTAGCCTTAAGAAAACCACTAATCAGTGAGGCTAACCGGAAAAAAAAGCTTCAATTTGCTAGGGAGCATAAAGATTGGACTCTGGAGCAATGGAAGAAGGTCATGTGGTCTGATGAGTCCAGATTTACCCTGTTCCAGAGTGATGGGCGCATCAGGGTAAGAAGAGAGGCAGATGAAGTGATGCACCCATCATGCCTAGTGCCTACTGTACAAGCCTGTGGGGGCAGTGTTATGATCTGGGGTTGCTGCAGTTGGTCAGGTCTAGGTTCAGCAACAGTATGTGCTCAAAGAATGAGGTCAGCTGACTACCTGAATATACTGAATGACCAGGTTATTCCATCAATGGATTTTTCTTCCCTGATGGCACGGGCATATTCCAAGATGACAATGCCAGGATTCATCGGGCTCAAATTGTGAAAGACTGGTTCAGGGAGCATGAGACATCATTTTCACACATGGATTGGCCACCACAGAGTCCAGACCTTAACCCCATTGAGAATCTTTGGGATGTGCTGGAGAAGGCTTTGCGCAGCGGTCAGACTCTACCATCATCAATGCAAGATCTTGGTGAAAAATTAATGCAACACTGGATGGAAATAAATCTTGTGACATTGCAGAAGATTATCGAAACAATGCCACAGCGAATGCGTGCCGTAATCAAAGCTAAAGGCGGTCCAACGAAATATTAGAGTGTATGACCTTTTTTTTTGGTGGTGACTTTTTTTTTGGCCAGGCAGTGTATCATATATAATTATAAATCAGTCACAGATGCAGAACAAGTCTTTTTTTTTCATACTTTAAGTTTTCACATTGGATGTATTGGCACTTAAGTAGAGGATCTAAGTACTTCTTCTCGCTCTCGTGGATGTTATTGAGTTACGCACTTTAATCAAGAGAGCAGGTTTGATACAAGTTTCAGCTTTTTTTATTTAAATCTGGAATTATTGGATTTAAGACTAAAGCCCAGTTCAGAGCAAAGATTTGCAACGGGATGAGTTGAAACATGCAGCTACTTGCAATGCACCGTTCTGCAACCTTCAAAAATACCTGACAGTTCACACCAAAGCAACTAGGTGAGACTGTGTATCATCTCTATGCAACAACTCTCTGTACTTCTGTTCTGATTTGCAGCTTTTCAGGTTTATTTTGTGGCTGAATATAATTTGTAGCTTCTTAAAATATGAATGAGGATAGTGATAGTGAGATACTGGCTACAGCTGTATTTGTAGTTGTGACAACATGGTGAAAAACATAAAGTGAGCATCAGATGGACTGTATTCATAATAAATACACCACAATAATATAAGTAAGCACATACAGCGAGGAGCAGCAGCAACCCACTGTTCAACACCAGCACACCGTGAGGACGGAAATAGAGGGCTTGGCGGGGACAGAGCACCTGCCACAGCAAGCAAACACGCTGTCTGCTGTCATTTTGACTTGACCAGCAGACTTCACTACAAGCCGACTGGCTGTAGAAACAGGTAACGTGCCTTATGTTCTAGAAACAGCTGCCTGCAATACAACCAGCTGAGGTGCCGGTGACTCCATCAGCTGGCTTGAGTTGAGCTCAGACCAGCCAGTTCACGCCGCTGCAACTTTTCTCTGCAACATTCTTAACAGTTTTGCTGCTCACGACTCATCAGTCTAAACTGGGCTTAAGAAAGCAAGACTACAAATTTGACCTGAAATTCATCGACAGTTTTTAGCACTAAACCAAAAAAGTAACGCGGTTTAATCATCCAGCAAAATCGATCAATTTGCAAACACAAATAAAAAGTTGTCATCGTCACACTGACCTTTTTCCCTCAAGAGGCGTTTCTCTCGTGCACGATCGGCCTCATCCTGAAGACCTCTCATGTGCTGCAAAACCTGGAGGAGAATTACATTAAATTTTAGACACTGAAAGCTGTTTAACTGATCTCTTCCCGATAATTCTTCTGACCATCTCTTCCTCTCGCTCTCACCTTGGAGGCACACTGTTTGCACTGCTTCTCATCCAGACAGTCTCCTGCTGCCTTGGCCAAGCTGGCCTCCAGCGGGTTATCCTTCAGATCCAACCACTTCAGACCCTAACAACAAACACACACAGAGTGAAATAAAAACTTTTAAAAACAAAGCCACCTACAGCCAACTACATGCGAGTCTGCACACATATTTAACACAAGTGCAGAGTACACAAATATATCGTGTAAGGTAAGGTAAGGAATAAAGAAAGCTATCACAAATTATTTACTATTAAAGGAATAGATCACAGGGCGTCAGTAACTTAGTGGATAGTGCTGGCACCCAATGTACAGAGGCGATGCAAACAACAGAGCTCGTGTCAGACACCAACCCTGAGCTGAGAGAAGCTGACAGGTAGCACAGTCAGCTTGTTGTTGTACAGGTCCAGATGTTGAAGGCTGGTCAGGTTCCCCACGTCATCTGGCAGACAGGTCAGCTGGTTTTTACTCAGATCCACCTTCACCAGGTGGGTCAGGTTGCAGAACTCTGGCTGCATGAAGGAGATACAGACAAATAAGAAATAACTCAAGTTCTATTGTTCTTATTTCCTTTGTTAGTCAATGTTGGACAATCTGGAGGTATCTGCCTCTGGGGATTTAAAACATGAAACACATTTTGCTCCATGTCGTATGAATGTAAACCTGCACATTATCTGACAACAACACTCTTAAAGTTAACAAATAATATAACATCTCAAAAAGATTTATTGCTGCTGAATTCATTGTCTAGATCGAAGGTCTGCCAAACCTGCCACTCTCACTATTACATACACTGAAAAGTAATGTCTTTCATGTCTCCATCTGTTGTTGGGCTGTCACGATAATGAGTATGCATGCATAACGCGATGTTAATTCCACTGCAGAAGAGACTTGATGATCACTAAAATTTTCTGTGGATAATTCGGCTCCTGGTAAAAACCTACTGAACATCTGGAGCTTAAGTTATCACGGTAAAAGGTGAGCACACATTAGCAGGTGCTAGGTTAGCTGCCTGTCTGTGACATGCCAAACATCACTGTAACTTGAACTGCTTTAGTGAGTGTTTTTACCATACTAATCACTGCGTCCGTTTGTTTTGGAGAGGAAGAGACCTCTGTGGATAATTCAGCTCCTGGTAAAAACTCCCTAAAATTCTGGATCTTAAGTTATCATGGTAAAAGGTGAGCACACATTAGCAGGTGCTAGGTTAGCCGCCTATCTGCGACATGCCAAACATCATCAGCGAAACACTGATTTGTAACTTGAACTGCATTATTTAGTGTTTTTACCATACTAATCACTGCGTCTGTTTGTTTTGGAGAGGAAGAGACCTCCGTGGATAATTCAGCTCCTGGTAAAAACCTCTTGAACTATGAACACTGAAAAAATTCTAACCGGGAGAAATTTCAGCTAGTTGCAATCTGCACTCCTCACCGCTGCTGATGCCACTAAAACCCCCTAAATCTGACACACTTTATACTGGTTTAAATCACTGGGTCTGCTTGTTATGGAGAGGAAGAGACCTCTGCGGATAATTCAGCTCCTGGTATAACTTTCCTAAACTTCTGGATCTTAAATTATCATGGAAAAAAGGTGAGCACGCATTGACAGGTGCTGGGTTAGCAGCCTGTCTCTAACATGCCAAGCATCATCAGCAAAACACTGATTTGTAACTTAAACTGCTTTATTGAGTGTTTTTACCATACTAATCACTGCGTCTGATTGTTCTAGAGAGGAAGAGGCCTCTGTGGATAATTTGGCTCCTGGTAAAACCCTCTTGTACGATGAAGACTAATAAAATTCTAACCAGGAGAAATTTCAGCTGGTTGCAATCCGCACTTCTCACCGCTGCCTATGCCACTAAGTGCTCCTGAATGTTACACACTGTTCCTCTGAGGGGTAAATGGTGTGTTTTAGTGCAGTATGCCTGCGTTTGTACTTACAGGGAGGGAGGTAATGTTGTTGCAAGACAAGTCCACAACAGTTGCTTTGGTGAATAAAGCCTGTTGGGATAAATCAAAGCATAATGTCAGTATGATATAAGCTCTAAATGTATATCTGACACACGCCACCACGTGCTTAAAGTTACAGCACATTCATATAATGTAATGAATGTTTAATTCCTCTAAAATCTTCACACACAAAGTGAGACACAGAGACGATGAGTAACTTACCAGCTCTCTGACTGGCACCTCGGTGAGGTTACACAGGCTCAGGTCCACTTCATTACCGCTGATTTTATCCCTCAGGTTCAACGCTTTGTTGTTTTTGCTCATCCTGGAGTCTGAGCTGACACACTGTACAGTTAACGAGACAGACAAACACTGACATGAGGCAATTTTGAGCACAGTTTTAACAGTTGGTCCTGCAGAGACTTTTGACTAGCAGCGAGCAGGAAACCTCCTCTAACGTTACTGTTTCACTCGGTTTGCTCACCTGTTATCACAGCGGTGACAAAACTGCGCTGAAGTGTGACAAACGAAGGAAATAAAACGACTGGTCCCAACTTCTAAATGCGAATAAAGTTGGTGTGAGAGCTCTGAGACGTTGGTTAATGTGTGTTTTTGGCAGCACTGACTGCCTCAATGAAAATCCACGTCATTGATTGAACGACAGCGCGGAGACAGTGGAGCGAACAGCGCCACCTGCAGCACCGGAGGACACAAGACAAACTACAGGACATGACAAGGAACAACACCCAGTTACATATTAATATGAAAATTAACTCTGTATTGAGAAATAAATATCATACATGCTTATACATAAACAAGAGTCTATGACACGCATTTTTGCTAACATATATATATATGTTAGCAAAAAAAAAAAAATATATATACAGTACAGGCCAAAAGTTTGGACACACCTTCTCATTCAATGCGTTTTCTTTATTTTCATGACTATTTACATTGTAGATTCTCACTGAAGGCATCAAAACTATGAATGAACACATGTGGAGTTATGTACTTAACAAAAAAAGGTGAAATAACTGAAAACATGTTTTATATTCTAGTTTCTTCAAAATAGCCACCCTTTGCTCTGATTACTGCTTTGCACACTCTTGGCATTCTCTCCATGAGCTTCAAGAGGTAGTCACCTGAAATGGTTTCCACTTCACAGGTGTGCCTTATCAGGGTTAATTAGTGGAATTTCTTGCTTTATCAATGGGGTTGGGACCATCAGTTGTGTTGTGCAGAAGTCAGGTTAATACACAGCCAACAGCCCTATTGGACAACTGTTAAAATTCATATTATGGCAAGAACCAATCAGCTAACTAAAGAAAAACGAGTGGCCATCATTACTTTAAGAAATGAAGGTCAGTCAGTCCGGAAAATTGCAAAAACTTTAAATGTGTCCTCAAGTGGAGTCGCAAAAACCATCAAGCGCTACAACGAAACTGGCACACATGAGGACCGACCCAGGAAAGGAAGACCAAGAGTCACCTCTGCTTCTGAGGATAAGTTCATCCGAGTCACCAGCCTCAGAAATCGCAAGTTAACAGCAGCTCAGATCAGAGACCAGATGAATGCCACACAGAGTTCTAGCAGCAGACCCATCTCTAGAACAACTGTTAAGAGGAGACTGCGCCAATCAGGCCTTCATGGTCAAATAGCTGCTAGGAAACCACTGCTAAGGAGAGGCAACAAGCAGAAGAGATTTGTTTGGGCCAAGAAACACAAGGAATGGACATTAGACCAGTGGAAATCTGTGCTTTGGTCTGATGAGTCCAAATTTGAGATCTTTGGTTCCAACCGCCGTGTCTTTGTGAGACGCAGAAAAGGTGAACAGATGGATTCCACATGCCTGGTTCCCACTGTGAAGCATGGAGGAGGAGGTGTGATGGTGTGGGGGTGTTTTGCTGGTGACACTGTTGGGGATTTATTCAAAATTGAAGGCACACTGAACCAGCATGGCTACCACAGCATCCTGCAGCGACATGCCATCCCATCCGGTTTGCGTTTAGTTGGACGATCATTTATTTTTCAACAGGACAATGACCCCAAACACACCTCCAGGCTGTGTAAGGGCTATTTGACCAAGAAGGAGAGTGATGGAGTGCTGCGGCAGATGACCTGGCCTCCACAGTCACCGGACCTGAACCCAATCCAGATGGTTTGGGGTGAGCTGGACCGCAGAGTGAAGGCAAAGGGGCCAACAAGTGCTAAACACCTCTGGGAACTCCTTCAAGACTGTTGGAAAACCATTTCAGGTGACTACCTCTTGAAGCTCATGGAGAGAATGCCAAGAGTGTGCAAAGCAGTAATCAGAGCAAAGGGTGGCTATTTTGAAGAAACTAGAATATAAAACATGTTTTCAGTTATTTCACCTTTTTTTGTTAAGTACATAACTCCACATGTGTTCATTCATAGTTTTGATGCCTTCATTGAGAATCTACAATGTAAATAGTCATGAAAATAAAGAAAACACATTGAATGAGAAGGTGTGTCCAAACTTTTGGCCTGTACTGTATATGTATATATATATACTCCTTGTTTATACATACTCCCGGGTCCTCTGTGGAGGACATTAGTCTAACAACAAGTGTAACTCAAGTATTCTTTATGCTATCCATTTGGGTCAAATTATGTTCTGAACATAGGTTCTGAAGAGGACATCGAGGGCTTTCTAATGATGTAGACATTATGTGGGTGGGGTTAACAGGGCAAACACACACCCTTTTCAAAATGGCTGCCATTACATTTTTCTCGTTTTTTGCTGCCAGAGTGGTAATTGATCATTTTCTGGCAAAAGTTATTATTATTTTGATAATATTTTATTTGTTTCCTGAATATAAGGGTCTTAACTTTAACTTAGAGAGATTTCAGAAATCCAGAGTAATTTGAACCTTTTCAAAATACACCTTTTATTCAATGTCCTCTGTAGAGGACATCAGGACTTCGTACCACCTGTTTTTTAACCACTTTCCATGATTCAGCAGGCAGAAGGCCATTAAAGGGAATGACGTTTTTTTCCTCATAATTTCTAATACATTTTAAAGGCTAGTCAGCGTGAAAGCAGAAATTTGGCTTGGAGTGAGACTCTGAAGTAAAGTGTATGCAAGAATTTGGAGGTTTATTGGAAAATAAGAACACCACAGGTGAACGTAAATTCCCATGCATCTATGGTAAGATACTAACTAAAAGGAGGATATCGAGAAACTTCTTGCTCTATTTCCTTTGAACAATGACAATTCTTGCTGAGAGTATATTCACACATACAATAGTATCTGTAAAGCTTCCCTCCACTGTTCTTTACCCTTCCTAGGCCACCACACACAAAAAAGTTTACCTGGTCTTTGGGGTCCGTCACGTGACGGGGGGTCATGGGTCAAACTATGGGGCTCCCCATCACTTCTTATTGCCTGGGCAAGTGTTAAATGACTACATAGCAAGCGTTACACCTCATCACATCATAGATAGTGAGGGGTGAGTGCACTTGGACCATGAGACCCTTAAACCCAGTGGTAGAGGGTACCAATCCTGCACCCTGACTGCAACGTCAGGTCCATTGGTATAGCTATTAAGAATACACTCTACCTTGCTACAGCTATCCATCATAGTGTTAAACATTGAAGACAGCCACATAACAATCCCAGGGGAGTAAAAGTCCTTTGTAGCTCATATATTTAGAGATAAAGCATAAAATACCCCATAGTCCCATTGTAACTCAATTGAAACTCATTGACTANGGGAGTAAAAGTCCTTTGTAGCTCATATATTTAGAGATAAAGCATAAAATACCCCATAGTCCCATTGTAACTCAATTGAAACTCATTGACTAACTTTAAAACCCAACTAAGTCCTGATGTCCTCTACAGAGGACATGTGATAAAAAATAAATAAATAGTATTTTTGAATTTTTTGATGCAAAATGTTTCTTTCAAGTCAAATCCTTAAATTACATAAAACAAATCTTGATATCATTTTTTTTTCTTCTGGGTTCCAGGAGGGACATTTGTTTATACATATGTGTATGTATGAAACCCTGATTCCAAAAAGATGGGACATTATGTAAAATGTAAATAAAAACAGAACGCAATGATCTGTAAATCCTTTTTGACTTATATTCAAATGAATACAGTCCGAAGACAAGGCATTTAATGTTCAAACTGATAAACTTTATTGTTTTTTGTAAAATATACACATACTCTGAATTTGACGCCTGCCACACGTTCCATAACAAGTTTGGACAAGGGCAACAAAAGACTGGGGAAGTTGTTGAATGCTCAGAAAATATCAACAACATGTCTCAGTTTTTCTACATTCAGTCAGTCCAGTACCGTCATTATCGTTAGAAATTAGATTATTTTATACTGCTGATTGACAATTGACAATGTTCAATATCTCTAAAATATGACCACAATCTTTTTTTTTTTTTTTTTTTGAGAACTGTCGTCTGATCAGGGTGGAAAAATGTCTGTGGCAGCATTTTATATTAAGAAAGCTACTCACTCTTGAACCTGGTCCTGAAACCTGGCAAACCTGGCACCTCGATACACATATGTATATATATATTCCTCAAGATTGGGTCCTCCACCAGAGGCCTGGGAGTTTGAGGGTTCTGCCCAGTATCTTAGCTGTTCCGAGGACTGCACTCTCTGAGGACCACTTTAGTGTCTTTTAGCTTGTTGTTTTAGTTGTATGGCCTGTAACTCTCATAGACTATATAAAAGAATGGACATTGGAAGAGCGGGTGGAGCTATGGAGGAGCGAGGAGTGGATCTGACTCATAGACTGTACCGACTCCTCGCAGACAGCCTGTCACTCAAACCAGCCTCGCCCTTCAATACGCCTAACTTAAGGCCGAGTAAGTTATATAAAAATTCACCCCTGTACAGATTGTCTTGAAAAGGGAAACTAGCTATAGAGACCAAAATAATTATTTTTTGTTCCAGGCTGTAAACATGTTTATTTCTGCTGTTACGTTGGGCATTTTAAAAAGGAGGACTCTGACTCATTTCCAGAGCCGACCTCAAGTGGCCACTCAAAGACCTGCAGTATTTGTTTGCTGCTCGGTAACTCTACTGGTTTGGTTCACTCTCACTGTCCCAGTGTCAGACAGAATAATAAACAGAGAGAAGAGGTTTTGTTTTTATTGTTTATTATTTTTGGTTACAAAGTGCTTGATCTATCTCTTCAGAGTCAGTATAGAAAGCATAAAGCAGAGAAGAGATGTGAAAGAACACCACAGAAAGACATGATTATACCGAACCCTTAAAGAAAAACACATTTCATAACTTAATATGATGATAGATGTGTTTCAAATTGTAAAGGGACACTGGACCAGAGGCCTGTACTACAAAGAAGGATTTGGAGTTAGTGAGGTTACTTCAGGGTTAACTCTGGGTTTTCAGTGCTACGAAGCTGGTTCTCTTTTTGCCAGGATAAATCACCGTGGCAACTTCTACTGAACAGCTAACAGGTTAAGTTCAGTATCAGATCAGAGACACAGTGTGATGAGAACTAGGATAAAACAGATAATATTTTATTAGTAAAGTAATCCACACACTGTTAATTGGCTCCTGTTGTTATAAATGAAACATTAGGGTCAGACAGACCTCAGCAGTCATTAACTACCTTTCCACTCTTTACTTCAGCAGCAGAAACAGTCTGGTGTTCCTTTAAAGTGTTTTATGGGACATACTCAGAGGAGTTTTATCCTCATCCAACCAAACAGCAAAAAATACTCTATACTAATGTCACATAGGCCCATAGCTCAGTGACACCTGGGCGTCATTTAAGTCTCGGATGATGGTGAATTTTTGGACAGTGTTTTCAGTGTTTCTAGATGTTCTGTTTTAAGATCACAGAGTATCGTTTACACCCCACGCTTTACTGTCTCGTAGTCACAGACACTTTCACTATTGTTTCATAACATATCATATGAAGCAGCCTCCTTCATTCATGGTTCTGATGATGTCGCTCATAATTAACACTCCCGCCTCTTTCACATGAATGCGCTCTTGGCTGGATAGGAAAACCCAGAGTTGACTGAACTAGCTGATAACCAGCTTCGTAGTACCTGTAGTACCAATGTTAATGTTAGTCAAAGCAGATAGTGAAAAGATATCCTGGGCAGGTTGGACTGGCTTCGTAGTACAGGCCTCGGTTTACACATTAGCATCTAGCAAAATCAACCAGTACCACAGCAGAATACAGTTAGTACATTTCTGATTTGTCTTGTTGTATTTAACTCATCTCATGTCCAAATATCCAAAACTTTTTCTTCCCAAACTGCCTTGGGGGAAGGTTTCAAGTATTTTCAAGTCAAAAGGCTCAAGTCCAAATGAAGTCACTAGACTTTACATGAGAAAATCAAAAAAGCATTGCGACTAGACTTGGACTTGAACATCAATGTCTTAAGTCATCAAATTTGTGACTTGAGTCTCACCCAAGTCCACACCTCTCCAAACTGTCCACAAAAAAATGTTTGTGGGGCAAAAATAGTGCTGAACAGTGAGCAAAAGCGGTTCTTTGACTTGTAATCACAGGGGAACCTGTTTTGGTGCTATATGTCACCCATCTTTGTTGAATAGTGCTGTATAGAACCACTTGAGGTGCCATACAGCACTATATTGTTTTTAAATGTTTGAGCCTAGGGATGAACAGTCAGGATATGTCAGCATGTGCTGCAGTGATTTTGATCATTCTTATTTAAGCCATGTTGCATTGGCAATGTCAGTTAATAGAGGTTAGATAAAGTTCCTGTGGCAACAAAACAAACCTGTGAAAACATGTATGACATGAATTTTTGTGCACCTTTACTGCATGTGTCATAGTATACATATCTGATTTTTTCTTTTTTCTTTTTACATATTATGTTTTAAGGTAATTATAAACATTGTCTGTTATATTTATGTAGGATTGCATGCTATTTTGTTAACACCTCCATATATCATTCTTCTTTAATATGTGTATTGGTGGAGTGTGCTTATTTATCCAAAGCAAAGACATGAGTCTAACACTTGATGGCATTTTAGTTGACCAGAATATTACAAGACAACATGTGTGTTTGATGTGAACCACTGTGCCTAACAAGCAAACAGCAAATGTGTGTAGATACCACTGATAGATTAAATACTACCTGAACAGCCAAGTACACCTTCAATCATCAGCTTTAAAGCAGCAGAACATGATGTAAAAGAAAACCACTGTTAGGATTAGGTATATAGGCCAGGAGAGTGAGAGTAAAGTGTGTGGTCAGTGACTCAAGTTAGTTACACCAGAGTTGGTCGACCTGCAGCATGACAGTCATGACAGTTTTCAGAATTATAGGCACTATTCTTTTCTGGAGTACTCCACATGATAAACATGCAGACTAAAAACACAGAGGCAGCTATGATGTAGAAAATGAAGAAAACTTTGTTGATTGTTTTAGTCATTCTGGTCCAGTAGCCCGTTTTCTTTTCTTCCTTCCTGCTGCTGAGGAGCAGACTCAGAGTTTTCATCGCCTCCACCAGCTCATCCGAGAGCTTTTCAGATTCACAGCACTTCTCCGTCAGTTGGCTGCTGCTGCCCTAAAAATAGTTTAATTAACTTGGGTTAAATAACATGATTATGCTAATGCAAGTGCAACATTTGACTTTTACATTATTGTATCAGTTGTGATCTAGCCACCCATTACATTGTCTATTTGATAATTTGTTTTTACAAAGTAGTTTGAACTACTCTTTCTACTACTCTTTCTAAGTAGGTTTTAGTTAACCAAACTAGATTTCTCCCTCGAGTAGCTTTGTCATAGTTTAACTTCTTCAAGTGTCAAGTAATTGAAGTAATCTCTGAGAAGCTCCTCACCCTCGGACTGATACCCTCCCTCTGTGCCTGGGTGCTAAATTTCCTATCGGACAGACCTCAGTCAGTCAGAGTTGGAAACCGCCGATCAGGAATGTGAACTATAAGCACAGGGACCCCCCAGGGCTGTGTGCTGAGCCCCCTGCTGTACACGCTCTTCATGCATGATTGTGTGGCCTCCCAGACCAACACCAGCATTATAAAATTCACAGATGACACTACAGTCATTGGGCTGATCACTGGTGGGGAAGAGACATCATACAGAAGACAGGAGGCAGAACTGGTGGCCTGGTGTCAGGATAATAATCTCTCCCTAAATACAGACAAGACCAAGGAGATGATTATTGATCCTAGGAGGAGGAGAAGGGACCACATGCCATTACACATCGGTGAGACAGAGGTAGAGAGGGTGAAAACCTTTAAATTTCTCGGCAACCACATCAGCAAGGATCTCACCTGGTCTCACAACACACAGTAGATCATCAAGAAATCCCAGCAGCAACTGTACTTCTTCAGAAAGCTGGGGAAATTTGGCGTACCCACCAATATCCTCAGTAAATTTTAAAGATGTACAGCTCAATCACAGTCTGGCATGGAAAAAGTACAGCTCAGGAAAGGAAGGCGCTCCAGCGTGTAATGAAAATGGCACAACTCATCCAAAGAACAGCCTTTCCCTCCATTCATTTACAACAGCAGGGTCATCAGGAGGGCCCACAACATCATAAAGGTCAGTTCACACCCCAAATGCAGTCTTTTCACACTTCTGCCATCAGGCAGACGCTACAGGAGTGTGAAATCCAGGACAACAAGACTGACCAACAGCTTCTTCCCACAGTCCATCAGACTGTTGAATAACAGAATGAAACACAGAGGGGGGACCAAAAATGGGGATGGTGCAGAACGGTTCCATTGGTACCATCCACAACTTTTCACAGTGGAAACAGAAAAAAATTGTACCTGAACTGAACTGTACCATGCCGTACTGCTCGCTGGAAACGGGTCTTATGTTTATTGTTATCAGGGCTGTTTCAAGACAGAAATGTGAACAGCTCATTTCTCCTCTGACACATCACACCCGTGTGCCGCCACGGCTCGGCTGTTCAGGTATTTCTGGGCAGTCATGAAATCAACAACAAGGAAATTATTGGACCTGGAGCCAGACTTCCCTGTCGCCGGTAAGCCTTATCTTGCGGCGTATTTGACAGGAATACGGTGTCTGTGACCCCCCGTTCAACCCACAACTGGCAGGATTTGGCTTTCGTTTCTGCTGCTGGTTGAAATCTGTACTTGTGTAGCATGCTGAATGATTTGTTTTGCTTTGAACTTATCCCACAGTAATGGTACCGTGAAGGAACTGTAGTACTACGGTACTCCAACAATGCTAGCGCGGGTGGCAACCAATCATGCGGGACATGGTCTCAATTTGTGTGACGCGTGAAAAGAGACAGAACTGCTGTGCAGTCCCGCACAGTGCGGGACATCTGGTCACCCTACTTAGCCACTCGCAAGCAGCAGCTAGTAGGGGGCCCCATTAGGGAGGATTCCAACGTATTGTCGTTGTTGCAGTGTCTATAGGGGTTCCATCATATTGTCATTGATATGGACCAATGTCAGCCATCTCTGGGGGCTCCCTTCCAGCTCGGGGCCCTAGGCAATTGCCTAGTTTGCCTGTCCGGTTGCGACGTCCCTGATTGTTATGCGCCAAAATAGCAAAAATCTACTTGGCAATTAACCAAATTCGAATCTGATGAAAAACTTTTTTTAAATATTTGGGTGATTTATTAATTGATTTATTTTCAGTTCAGTTTTTATCTTATTAGGTTTTAAAAACTGAAACTTAATTCTAACCTCTTTGGCCAACGACAGTCGTTCAGATGGTGCTTCACCAGGAGACACATCACAGATACACGCACAGTGTAATTTCTTAACCTCTGGAAAGATGGATTAGACACACAGCATGATTAGTACATATTCAAAGTAACACAGCTGACCATTTTGTGTTCCAAGTTTTACATGTGCCTGTTTCAGAGAATGAAAGTACCTAAAGGTGGACATATGGATTAACTGACTTTGTCTTTTGAGAACATAAATACATTTACAAACTTAGTGAATCTCACCTCTAAAACAGCTGTGGAAGCTGACTTTGCTCTCTTTGTCTCCACAGTCCTTACGCAGGCTTTGGTCTCTATCTGCGTCGTTGTCTTGGGATTCAGAGTCTTTCTCCATCAGATACATCACCACAATCGTCTCCAGGAGGCTCAGCAGCATCAAACCAAACATCCCAATGCAGTAAATAGCTGAGAGGGGCAAGCAGCATCAGTAATGTAGACAAATAACCATAAACTGATTTGATATGTGCTGTTCCTGCTCATATGAAGTACGGTTTATTAAAAGGCAAGATTCTTGGTCTTCTTTACCTATAAGTGGAGTCCTGTCTGAAGAGGAAGGCAGAATATCATTGAGAATAAGCTGCATCACAGTGACAGCAAGCAGCACAGTGACCTTGAAGCCGAGCTTCTCGCCCCCGCTGTCTGAGACCAGGAAGGAGGCCAAGTCCAGACACAAGAAGAACAGGATGGGTAGTAAGAAGTTGACGATGTAGAGGAGAGACCGCCTCTTCATGGAGATCTATGAAATGTTGTTCAAGGGTCAGATGCAGTGGTGCAGTGGAGGCTATATGCAGATACAGAAGGCTCACAAGACTCAAAATTGGAAATACTTTAGTAAAGTGCCCTGCTTGTACTTACTTGAGAAACACAGAGGTGTAACATAGAGTGTTCATTTTCCACCTCTGTGAGTTTGTATCCAGATATACTTACAGTGTAAATGACATAGCTTTTGTTACGGACAGTGATGTCGGTGACGGTCATGTTGATGAACAACCACTCGGACTGGGTCTGAATCGACTCGTGAGACCACTCTGTGGTCGTTGAGGAGTCAAACATGATTTCAAACTTTATTGCCTTGTCTGAAGTGGGAGATAAAAATAAAACTGTTAGGTTTCCTTGCACATTAATAGATTAAGAAATATATGGTATGTGTCCTCAGGTGACAATAAATTGTAAAAGTCATTAAAGCATACACATGGATTCAAAACTCAGACACGAGAATACATAAATAACAACACAGGAACTTATGAAACTTTTAAACACAACAGTTGATGAGCTCACCTAAATGCATTGCAGACCTGAAAGTGAGGTTGCAGCTCTGAATGTCAAAGGGAAATTTGTAAATTTGCATCCTGCAGTTGCTGACCACCACCATGTACTTCTTAAAGACGACTTCACTGTTATTCCGAAGGATAAGATAAGGACTCGGAGGGGCCTTGCCCTGATCTGTCCTGTATGAGCACAAACATGAATTCTTTAAACTGAATTTCACATAATGTTATTAATGTACTTTGCTGCATATATTTTTTCGATAACAACAATACACAGACATACACACCTACATACACTCACACACTCTACCTGAACAGATATCAGATAGAATACATTAAATCATTGTCTGTATTTACTTAAAGTAGAGAGACTGAACAATAGGGATGGGTATCATTACGGTTTTAATGATACTACTATTCGAAATGAGTTTCCTCAGTGGGGTGTCTGGGCTCAGCCTTAGAGATAGGGTGAGGAGTTCAAACATCCGGAGGGAGCTCGGCTTAGAGCTGCTGCTCTTTCGCGTCGAAAGGGGTCAGTTGAGGTGGTTTGGGCATCGGATCAGGATGCCTTCCGTTGGAGGTGTTTCCTGGCATGTCCACCTGGTAGGAGGCCCCAGGGCAGACCCAGAACATGCTGGAGGAGTTACCTCATCTGGCCTGTGAAGGCCTTGGGGTCCCCCAGGAGGAGCTGCAAAGTGTTGCTGGGGAGAGGGACGTCTGTGGTGCTTTGCTTGGCCTGCTGCCCCCGCGACCTGGTCCAGGATAAGTGGGTGAAAATGGATGGATGGATGGATGGATGGATGTAAGTACAATATACAAATTAACATTAGGCTACAGCATTGTTTAGAAATTAATTTTAATTTTCAATTTTATTTATAAAGCCCAATATCACAACTCACAATTTACCTCAGAGGGATTTATAGCATAACCCCTCACCCCCCAAAATTACCCTTTAACAGGGAGAGAATGCTTGAAACCTCAGTAACCAAAAGGTATTACTATTATAGACTATAACATACCCAACATGGGTGGGGTAACGGGAGATGAACTATGAGCTAGCGATTGAAAACAGTGCATTTCTCCACCTGTATGTGATGCACTTTCACTAGATGTTTCGAAAGATTGCTCGTCTTTCTGCCCTTACATGTAAAGGACTTGTGACAACAAGCAGTGTCACCACCCTCTCCCACCTGGAGGGGAGGGACACTTATGTGAGCATGCTGTTTGTGGACTATAGCTCAGCATTCAATACCATAGTGCCCTCCAAGCTCGTCGGGAACCTCCAGGACCTGGGCGTAAATCCATCCCTGTGCGACTGGATCCTGGACTTCCTGGCAAACCGCCCCCAGGTAGTGAGGGTGGGGGGCTGCACTTCTACCACACTGACTCTCAGCATGGGGGCGCCACAGGGCTGTGTTCTCAGCCCACTCCTGTACTCCCTCTACACCAACGACTGTGAGGCGAATGAGACATCAAACCATGTTGTGAAGTTTGCAGACGACACAGCAGTGGTGGGGCTGATCTCTGGTGGGGATGAGTCTGCCTACGCAAGGGAGGTGACCAACCTGGAGCAGTGGTGCGGAGACAACCACCTCTCCCTGAACGTCCCAAAGACCAAGGAGGTCATTGTTAACTTCAGCAGGAAGAAGGAGGCCCTCCCATCCCGCACCATCAATGGTTCAGCGGTGGAGAGGGTGGGCTCCTTTAAATAGGGGGTGAGCATTGGGGAGGACCTGACCTGGGACTGCCACGTCACTGTGGCCGTCAAGAAGGCCAACAGCACCTCTACGGCCTCCTGGTGTGGCAACTGTACCGTCAATAATCGGTCAGCGCTGAGGAGAGTGGTTTGCACGGCCGAAAAGTTCACTGGATGCGAGCTGCCCTGTCTGGAGGACCTGTACACCCAGCGCTGCCTCAGCAAAGCCCTGATAAACATCAAGGACCCCACCCACCCCCACAACAGTCACTTCACCCCCCTGCAGTCCCAACAGGTGAAAGGATACAAAATCCTCAAAACACGAACAAGCAGACTGAGGAACAGTTTTATCACCCATGCCATCAGACTTTTAAATGACAGGAAAGAGTAGCTGTGCAATAACATGACACTATGCACTTTATCACAGTGCAATAACACAGCATTATGCACCTTACTAGACTGATGTACTAGTCCTGTTTTTATAGATTATCAATTGGTTTAAGGTAGTACTGATTGCTTTTAGACTTGGTTTTAAGGTGCTGTCTTTGTTTTGTTTTGTTTTTTTATTGGTGGTGCTTCCCAGACTAAGAATTTCACATGTATGTACCCTGTGCTACTAAGTGACTTATAAAGCTGAACTGAACTAAATTACCATACTTCAGAGCATTTTGCCCTCTCCACTTTCCCCCTGTGTGTGTGTGTGTGTGTGTGTGAGAGAGAGAGAGACACACACACAGTGGCAGAGCTGGCCCTGCCCCTCGCACATGCGGGCTCCGACACACAGAGCTGTCCTCTGGATTGCATAGCAAAAATGTATCAGTGACGAATGTCTTAATCTTATTCAGGGATGCAAACAGAAAATGGTGAAAAAGAGAGAAGGATACGAACCGCCTAGGGGGGTCCGGGGGCATGCTCCCCTGGGAAGACATTTTTTGAAATATCAGCTTTAAAGGATGCATTTATAGTCAATTTCAGTATCAGACCTATAGATACTAAAGAAGCAGTGCTGACAAGAAAAACTTCTATTCTAAGACATCTAAGGGGCCTACTCAATAAGAGACAGAGGTTAAGTTGTAAATTGTGTCCTCAAATGTACAATGTCCTCTCCTCAATACTGAAAAAAAACCCCATCCCCAGTCTGCCTAATGAGGTCATACCGGCCAATATTTCCTCTGGATTCAATTAGCAAATAGGCCTACAGGCCTGCCTCCAATATTGGCAAGGGAAAATTGGAAAATTGAAGTGCCACAAAGGGGCGACATTTACCTTGACATTTATCATGATACAGGAAACGTTTCAGGATCATTCATTTTACTTTTCAAAAGATAAAATGTACTGGTAATTGGTGCATCTTTCTTTTACTTTGAACAGCATGGTAATGCATTTAACAAGAAAAACTTATATGTGTTAAACAAGAGACAGCCAACGATAGAAGCGAATGTTTTTACCTCAGATGATCTCGACACTCGTACTCCGAATCGGTCATCAAATTATTTCAGCTGCATCTTTGCGCGGCTCTATTGAAGGCGTGCATGCCTCGCCAATGGCCAATCAAAGTGCTTAAATGATACACATGATCAGCACACGATGTGCTCTCGCGACAGATGCTGCTGACAGTTGTTTTTTTTTAGTTGTAGATTTGTTTTGCTCAGCGCAGTTCACTCATATGAGCGTGGTTCATTCTCACTGCTGTGATGCAAAAATGCGGGACGGATTTGCGGAATGTTTACGCAGCGCTTTTCCACGCTCAAACCATACACACAGGTGCGGTACGGACGCGGTGTGGAATTTCGCGTTGTTGTGTTCCAAGTCCGCGCTGCGTGAACGGGTGTGGGTGAACATGGATGAGAGTAGCAGCAGCGAGCTAGCAAGCTAACGTTTAACAAGCGTCAACATCAACTTTCTTTAGCACTTACCACTCTCACCGCAGCCACCAAGCTGGACAATGGACTGCCAGAGGCTGTCCTTTGATTCATTGTTCATAAAATCATCCCGTCTGTTATCAAAAAGGACGGGGTGCTGTGAAACGAGGTTTATCAATCTTTCTCCCATACTGTCCTGCCTGACTGGATTTCGGACTCTCCCGGGTATGCGCGACTATAAACAAACAATTTCATTGGCCCAGCTGTGTAGTTCCACCAGCGAATTCCGCGGGGGGTCAAAGTCTGGGCGGAAAATTTTTTCACCGCACGAAAGTTCTGCCGCGGTGTGCAAACTTCCATAAGAACCCATGAAATCAAATTTTATATTTTTCAGCGAGAATAATCCGTGCGGATATTCGCCCTCAGTGAAAATGGACACAGAAATACATTTTAGGATTACTCACCCCCCCACCCACCCAAAAAAAAACACTCTTTTCCTAGCCAGGAAACTGACTAGACAAGTACCATCTTAGGAAGGATCTAATTAATCAGGATTGGAGTGAAATTTATGTTGAAGATGTAGATGAATCCTATAAAACATTTAATTCAATTATATCCAACTTGTATGATAAACATTGTCCGCTTATGATTAAAACAGAAGAAAACAAATATATGGACAAGCCATGGATAACAAAGGGGATACAAAATGCTTGTAAAAAGAAACAATTATTATATAAGGAATTCATAAAACATAGAACAAAGGAAACTGAAAACAGATAAAAGACATAAAAAAATAAATAATCAAATAGAATAGAAATCAACATAAATTGTCCATATGACTCCCAATGTGGGGGTCCAAGTGCTTGACCCTGTTGAGCTACAGTGGGCAGCTCTAAGGGGAGAACCCTACTCCTGTTGCCAGTGAAAGGGGCCCCTATCTGTGGTAGCAGCACATCGAGAAAGTGTACCCTAAACGAGCTATCTAATAATTCAAGTGATATTATGTGTCTATCCCTAGTTTTCATAACATTATTGTCCGAGAGATTTGTCCATCAACACATCCATCATAGGGCTGGCCCAGCTCAGCCCATTCTCCAAGAGAGGTGGGAGGATAAAAAAATAAAATAAAAAAGCGTTAAGAGTAATCCTATAAATAAAAATGAAAAAGGTAGACACAGTCAGGTGTATATATAGCCATGTGAACTTGCTGATATTAGGCGGAGGATGTCGGTGACATTCTCCTGAAGGTTCGGAGATTTTCCTTGTAGCTCGGAGCGGGTCCGGTGTTGGGTTCGCCTGCCTGCTCTACTCCATGTCAGCCGCTGTATCTGCTCTCTCAGTGAATCCAGGGGTCTGATGATCTTCGCAGTGTAGCCTCTGGTGACTAGATCCTCGGTCGCCTCCTCTATCATGTCATAGGTTCTGGTTCCCTCTTTGAACCTAACGTGCAGCCTGGCAGGGAAAGAGTCTGAAACTGCACTTGATTTTCTTTCAAAACCTTGCGGACCTCTGCATATTCTCTCCGTTTTTTGAGAACAAGAGGCGGGTAGTCGTGATCCAAGTTTATTTGGTGCCCTTGCCAAGTAAATCCTTTATTCTGCCATGCCTTGCGGATCACTGACTCCTTTGTTTTGAAGCTTAAAAACTTCATGGCGATGGAGCGAGGCGGAGCGGCCTCTGGTGGTTACGGTCCCAGGGAACGGTGTGCTCTTTCGATCTGCAGGTCTAGCACGTCTTCGGATAAGCCGAGTCCCTCACATAACAGCTTCTCCACAAATACACTCACTGTTGGTACTCCTTCTCCGACCCCTCTGGGACCCCGTAAATCCTTACATTTTCGCGTCTGGAGCAACTCTCTAAGTCCATCAGCTTGTCCTCTAGCTTCATGTGTAGCTTTAGCATCTCCGTGATAGCTTCCTCCGTGTTTTGAATCCTCTCCTCCGCTTGCTTGATTCTTCCCTCTCCTTCGTCCAATCTGGCATTCACCTTCACCATTTCGTCTTTTATTGACTCTAGTTGTTCTCTATTTTCCTGGCGAAACCCTCTCAATTCTTTCAGGATAAGCTCCAGGTCGGCCATGTCTCCGCCTCGCCGCTCGCTAGCATACACCGCTAATGTTTTCCTTTGCTGTGTCTCATCCTTGTCTCCCGTTTCTTCTCTCTGCTCGTTTTTTTTTTTTCCTCCCCCGCTCAGTGTCGGGTAAACGACTGACCCCTGTTCTTAATAATTTTCGGAATGCTTTTCTTCGTTTATATTGGGGTATTTCTGTAATTACTTCGGCTCGGCCACGGAGCTCCCTCGCTACGTGTCCATCTTGGTGATGTTCCGACCGGAAGTCCCAAGGCCCCCCCCCCTTGTTTTTAATTTTTTTTTTCATGTAAGGCCTACATATCCAGCTTTCATTTTGCTCATGGTTCCAAGGGCTAAAGAAAGTCTTTCTGCTTGGTCCAAAGTCCAGACATTACAAACAAACTTGGATTTCACTTTGTCAGTGTGGGGTATTGAGTGTAAACTGATTACTATGGAAAAAAATATTTAAATGATGTAAGCATGAGACTGTAGCATAACAAAATGTCATAACATGAAGAGGTCTGAATACTTTTTGAATGTACTGTACTTAATAAATACTGTAGCACTGTGATGTTACTGTGGTGAGTGTATCTTGATGTTAAAACATGCATACATTCAAACTTACATCTCTTTGACAATTACATCTGGCTTCCATATTAGTTCAGACGAAATAGACATCGTCTCAATGCCACAGAAGTCCTGAGGATCCCAGTGAATGTATTCATCTTTCCATGACTATAAAGGAATAACAAGGGAGAAAATACATTTGAACAAAGAAATATAAGTTTACCAACAGAGTGACAGGTGGGAATGAATTCAATCAAAAAGAGCATCCATCCTCAGAGAGAACTCACCATAAAAATGCGGATGCACGAAACAAACTTCTGGTCCTTCTCTTTCTATGAGCAAAGAAATGTGTGTGAAAATCTTTCAAGCAGGACATCTGGCAACTGTCATGAAACTTTTCAAATTCAGTGTTATTCAAGTTGCAACAAGTTTCCAATTAGAGTTCAAATGACAGTCTTGATCAGGCTCACCAGCGTCAAATACTTACGGTAAACAAACAGCACTGAACACTTAGGACAAAATGTTGATAAAGCAATATGTTGAATTACTGCCTCTTGGGATACGTTATTAGTACACTGGAGCCAAATTTCTATAGTTTTTATTAAAACATGCAGGTGATCTAAACAGAGTCTCCTGCAAATTTGACCACCAGTATCAGTACTCCAAGACACCTTGTGTTTGTTCTTATCAAATAAATGACTGTAAAATGAACTGAAGTTGACTAACTTGTGGTGAAAAAGAAAATCAAGGGAAAAATGGCAGACAGTGTGGAATCGGATAGTGGGGGAAGACAAATCGGAGAGGCACCATCATCTTTCAAGTCAAAAGTCTGGGCTTACTTTGGTGTTTACAACACAGATGGGACAAATATTGATCAAGATAGAGATAAAATGATGATTAGCTAGCATTAGCATAAATTTGAGCAATTTGAGGTGAATTTAGTTTATGGATTGTGTAGTCAACATTAGCATTAACATAGACAGTATTACTGGATAGGTTTTTTGTTGTGTACATAGGACACTGGCACTTTTGCTGACACTCAGTGGAACAAAAATGAAACATGGCAACACATAAAATTAGCACCGGACCCTAGGTGCATAGTTGGCCTGGTCTGACTCCAGAGTGTCATGAAACGATGTTTAGGCTGTTGCCAGCACAATGCCCCCTTTAGTGTCTGTATAAAACAGGACTGTCAACAAACTTCAGTGTAGACCCATTCACATCATTAATAGACAGTTAAAGCAACAGACATAGTATATCCATTAAGGGCAGGTGGGAGGGGAAGTGGCTGGGTCCAACAAGCACAGGTCTTTGACCCAGGACCCCAAAGTTTGTGTCCCATGTAAAACTAAAAGCCAACGTTGAGTTTTTTGTCACGTGAGTCGTTAGTCACTCCTTTGCAAGTTGTTAGTCATGCAAGTCATTAGTCACGAGTTAGTCATGTAACCCTTTCACCCTAGGCTCGTACTATTATGACCACGTTATGCACAACACAATTTAATATCAAACCAAATAAATGTTCAAAAGGGTGAAAGAGACATCTCAATGTAAAATAACATGTCTAGGGTAAACTATGACTCTCACTCTCATTTATAATCACTGAGAGGCTATGGGAAGAACTCTGGTTATGATAAACCCAATGAAATGTTAAAGCTATTTATTTACCGAAATAAATGAATTAATCTGTTCAGTTATTCAGCAAAACACAATGAATAATACCACAAACACAGTAGCTGAATTTCAACAGTGTATTAACTGAAATTGCACATATTTCACATGGCAGTCTGGGTTAACCTGAGTGCACTCTTTAAGTTTTTGTTTTTGTCCTTTAAGCAAGCTTGCATTAAGGTTTGTTGTCGCGCTTAATGTTGGAGCTCATGAAGTAACCACTTCTCACACTTCTCCTTGTGTGAGAACAGTCTGTAGAAATCCCGCTCCTCAGCCCTGGCACAGGCTGCAGCAACACAGCAGCGATGAGTAGCAGGCCGCCCCCCCTCCGCAGTCAGCAGACCACACTCAGGACCCAGCAGCGTTGCCAGGTGTACGATAATTATTGTATTTGTACGATAATTTGGCCCTCTGTATGATCAATAATCCCAAAAAAGGCCAAATGTACGATAATTTGACCATTTCATGAATGTGTGTTTGTAATCAGTATGTCGAAGTTTTTTTTTGTGAGCCCGGAAGGCATCTGTTCCCATGTGACATGTTTCCAGCCAACTGGACTTTGCTTAGCATGAGATACGGGTGACGTTTGTCTCTGAACAATGAGCACGATTGGCTGAATGGTCAACTGTACCCGCCCCACGAGGCGCTAGGACCCATCAGGAAGTCGAGCAAGAATGAGATTCAAAACAGAAGAAGAAGAGGAAAAACAGCAGCAAGGAAAATAGAAAAAAAAGTAAACCCTAGAGTGACTATATTTGAGCAATATCACACGAGAAGGAGTGATGTAATGTATATCGTCACGGCTGTGATTCGGTCATAGCCACGAGGCCGAAGACAATTACAGCCGTGACGATATACAGTACAACATCATGACCTCGAGTGTGATATTGCTTTTTTATACAACAGTTAGTTCCGACCGAGTAATTTGATTGGACGAGAAGCATTCCATGAGTGCTGATATGTATAACATCACTGGGACATGTAACAGTAAAATCACTCTGCTCACAAGTGTTATAAATATAAATACAACCGTTAATTAACCAACTGTCACACTCGCTACATTGACGCAAACTGACACTATAGCATTACACCAAGAAGATGGATATTTTCCCCAAAATTACATTTGAATTAAATTATGAGTGGTCGTCAGGAGAGGACGAGGAAAAGGAAAGCCAGGACTCTTCTTTGCCTATAGAGTGTGCCAGGGCTGACGTCAAAACCCGGAAGTTTAGCATCGCGCTGGTTCCCGGAAGAGAAAGTGAATGTGATTTTTGCATTGCGTTTTGGATTATGTCAGAAAATAAGCTCCGTGGCTAACACAAGTTTATGATACTTACAGGTTTTGTTCAGCGAGATAATCTTCACATATGAACACCTTTCATACCGCATTTGAAGCTTAAATGCGATCGCCAGAAGTAAAAAGCTAACGTTAGGCTTTAACGGACTTCATGACTACTCCACGGTCGCATGACTCTTGACGTCACCGCCACTAAGCTTTCAACTGATTTCGGCCGCTTTATTTTAAAAACATTGTATAATGGGGAAATCGGACTGTTTAAGCTAAATAAGAAGCTGTAATGGCGGACTGCCAGCACTCTCGCCTGTTCGGGGGTGATGACGTTTAATGTCCCCGACAGGGTTTGTAGTCGTATTGAGCAACTTGTTAGCAACCGCCTTTTTTACGACACGTAAAAGCTTCAAAATTCACAAGTAGGGTATTTACTGACGTGTTTTATGTCGTAGAACAAAACCTGAAACTCGCTTAAGCTTTTGTTAACCACAGACCTTATTTGAGGCATTTTACCAAAATCCCATTCAAAAAACGTACTGACTTTTAGACGAGAGAACAGGAAGTGCTAAAAGCGCTAATGGAGTTCTGGGTTTATTGGCACACTCTATAGCACATCAGTAGCAGGGTTCAACAGTGCGAGCATTTCACTCGCATTTGCGACTAAAAATAGGTGTGTGCGAACTGTAAAAAATATTTAGGGGCACATGTGTGCATAAAAACCTCAGCTGAAGCAGCCTATATTTTTGTCAATAAAAAAATATGATAATCTAACCGCAAATGTTGGAGGAACTCCAGCCGCCTTCCCTCTTCCCTCCTCCCCATGTGACACGGTTATGGGCAGTTTTCCAAGCCACTGTCGGCACAATGAATATAAGTCCCATTGTCGGCAGCATGGAAATAAGTCAAAGTGTGGAGGAAGCGGCGGACCTACGGGGAAGCCTGCTCCGTTCTCCCCGCAGTTAGGGACCATTCACCACAGTACCGCTGCTGGGCAGGGTGGAATAAAGCCCTTTTCACACAGAGCACGCAAAGCGCAGACCTCCGCCGACGAACCCATTCATTGTGTATGTGCTACCGCGGCGCAAGAGCGCACCGCTCTGCCGCCGAGCTGATGCCATGGCGTCTGTGCGCCGCCAGCCTGTGCTCAAATTGAATTTTTTTAATTTCACCGCAACGCGCTGTGACGACAAATCGGCGCGTCCAATAGCAGAGAAGAGCCTGAAGTAGATCCGGAAGCGGTCACCATGGAGCTGTAGCTCCTGAACCAGCCTGTACCCCAAATCCTGTCTTGCGCGCCTTGCTCTCCGCTTGCTCTGCGCCCTACCCTGCGGTGGGCGCTGCGAAAATCGCGCTTTGTGTGGAAGAGGCTTAAGCTTAAGTCCTGCAGAGTTCATCATATTGCAAAGATAATATATATAAGATAATAACATTAAAGACAAAATAAAATTGCAATACTTTTTCAAAACTTGATGATTTTACCTTTCTGTACATTTTGTATACAAATTCATTAAATAATTTTGCTTGTAAATGTCTTTTTGCATCACGTTTATTACGGAAAACACATTATTTGATCAATTTACATTGTGCCCCTAAAGTTCTTTGTGCGCTCCTTACTTTTTCAACTTAGGAGCACATGTGCTCCTTGGGAAA